CACGCCGCAATCCCTTCTCCTCCATTTTCCTCTTGGGATCGTGGGCATGCACATGCGCCCAGTGTGAGTTTAAGCCATTGGGTCCAGACCTCAAACCACAGTCAACTACATGGGAGTCCAGCGACATAGCCATTATGTTAACTCCTGGTCCCCCAGCTTGAATCTTCAAGGCCAGTAGGAGTCTCTAGCTCCAGTTTGCTAAAATAGACTTACAGAATGAAACATAATCATGGGAATGACATCCATCATCTTTGCCATCCATATTCTTTTGGCTAGAAGTATGTCGAAATTCTGCCCTTGCTCAAGGGGGCGAAGATTATGTAGGACAACACCCAGAGGCAGAGATCATGAGGCCACTTTAGAATTTTAGAATTTTGCCTACCATGTCTAGTAATATTAAAGATGCAATGTCCTGGGCCATCAGGAGGCATGGTAGTTAAGGTGCTAGACACCCACATGGCTGATGGTGGTTTATGTCCTAGACCTGGTGGTTTGCTTCATCACTCTCTCCCCTCCTCTTTCTGTCTTTCTTTAGTGAGCACATATGCCCTGTAGCAACTTAAAAAATAAATTAATTAAATTAAATCATTTTTGTAAAGAGATGCAGGAAGGGAACCAGCAGTTAGCGTAATGGATATGTCGCTGGACTCCCACGTAGTCGACCGCGGTTCGTGTCCCGGACCCGGTGGCTTAGAACTCACACTGGGCGCGTGTGCGTGCATGCCCAAGATCCCAAGAGGAGAATGGAGGAGAAGGGATTGCGGCGTAACCATCCCCCCTGGGGGGTGATTTCTCGCTTTCTGTCTCTGTGTCTCTCTCTGTCTGTCTGGCGAGCAGACGCGCCCTATAGCGAAAACCTCTCAACAACAACAACAAAACAACAACAACAACAACAACAACAACAAAAAGATGCGGGAAAAGTAGATGGTGTAGCACTTACATCGCTGGACTTGCACAAGGCTGATTGAAGTTGGAGTCCTGGCCCTGGTGGCTTGAAAATCATGCCAGGCATGTACATGTGCATGCAGGCCCAAGATCCTGGGAAGAAAATGGAGAAGAGATTGTGGAGTGGCTATCTTCTTTGGGGGGTGATTTCTCATTTTCCCTGTCACCGTCTTTGTCTCTCTGGTGAGTGCATATGCCCTAAGGCAAAAACCTCAAAAAAAAAAAAAAAAAAAGATACAGTGTCCTAAGATCTAGTATTTCTCAGTGCTTAGTAGAGATGTATAAGAATGTTCATAGTAGCATCATTTGTGATAACAAAAGTATTATTCTATAATTTTTAAATTTCCCATAATACAAAAGATAAAGTCAGAGAGATAGTCTATAAAACACCATATATGGTATGAAAACAAAAATTTCATTGAAAATGCATGTTTTTTCCAATAAACTTTTTGAAGTCCCCTCATACATGAGACATCTATTAGGTAACCCCCTACTTTGTGGCTTCAGTTTTTATTTTTTGAAGCCACTACTGCATTTGCTCCCCTGAAAGAACTCCCATCAAAACTTTAATAGAGAGCGAGTGAGAGAAAACACTTGACAGGATCTTACCATACAACAATCCCCCTTCCATAGCCCTCCACTCCAGCTCCACAGGATCTTAGTGCGGCACCTGGTGTGTTTTCAGGCCTCCGGAGGATCTGAACTGCTCCAGGCCAGGTGGCTTCCAACACTGCAGTTCAACACATGGAGGACTACAGTAGGAGGCTGTAGTTCTACTGAATTTAATGGTAACAATCATTTGTCAAAATTTTCGTTTAAGAACGTTTATTGAAAGTAAAGCAAGTATTTGTGTCTCATTTAATTTCTTTTTTTAAAGGATTATTTTATTTTAAACTTTATTTATTAATTTGTTTATTTCAATTTGACCAGAGAGGGACAGGGGGAGGGAGAGAGAGAGCGAGCGCTAGCGAGCAAGCAAGCCGCCAGGTCCAGGACTCGAACTGTTGTCGGCCATGTGGGAATCCAGCGCCTTTGGCCACCACGCAGCCTGCCGGCCCGTCATTTAATTTCTTCATGCTTTTCAAGCAAAGGTGTAGGAGAGAACTCAGAAAGGAACACTGGGAAGCTTGCTGCGAAAGTACTGCACTTGATATTTGAGATGTGCGGCGCTGACAATACTTTTGCGGTACTCCTTCAGCCTTAGATACTTCATCCTTCATTCAATGAACGTGTATTAGGTATCTACCAGGTTACAGGCTACATATAAAGAGATGAGTGAAGATCAGTCCTCCTGGAAGATCTTAGTGAAGACAGGTTTGTAGGTATAACTTTTCCCGACCTTTCCCACGGTCCGCAAACATGCGCTAGAACAGGACTCGCAGCTCTTCACCCCTTGGGCGTTAACCGAGGACTGTCAGCGGACCGTTGAAAGACTACGTTTCCCGGCAGCCTGTGCGGCGGTCGGTGAAGAGAAGTGAGCAGGCGCACGGGCCAGCCCCCGCACGCAGGCGCACTGCGAACGCCGGCTGAGCTGGGTCTAGCTGCTCGGTGCGCGGCGGCGGAGAGCAAGGCCTGGTAGGGACCGCCGCGGCGCGGGTCGGCTCTTCGAGGTTGTGCGCGGGAGAGGTACGGCGAG